TGGAAGTCTAATGTAAGAACCCAGACCTGGAACTCACTGGAGGGAGTGGCACAAGTGACTGCAAACAAAGAGTTGGGTAACAACTGCAATTTGCAAAACTGAACTGTAGACCTGTGGGTGACAGAGCTTAGAAACTTGCCCCAGGGAGAATATGATAACCAGAAGTACAGTGGCCAACAGCTAAAGAAGAGACAGAGGCACAATGAGTATTACTGAACCTCCCCTGCAAAACAGCAAAACCCTTTGCCAATCTCAGAGTTAACTGAGGAAGATATCGAGAAAATGGGGATACAGAATTCAAAACACTTGTTATAAAACCTTTTATCAACAATGAGAAGCATGTAAAGCAGACATTCAAGGAATGTAAGGAATATGTGACACTGGAAATGAATCAGATGAAAGCTGATACATCAGAAATGAAGAATGTAGTGGAGCAAATTAAAAGTACACTGGAGCATCTCCAAAACAGAATGAAGGAGGCAGAAGAAAGAATCTCAAAATTGGAAGAAATTTCCTGTCATTAGGAAGAAACAAACAAAAAGCTGGAGGCAGAGTTGGGTCAAACTAAAAAAAGCTTCAAGAATTCAAAGACACTATTAAAAGGCCAAATGTGAGAGTTATGGGACTCCCAGAAGATGCAGAAAGAGAAGCTGGGTTTAAAAATGTATTTAAGGAAAAAAGTAAGGGAAAATTTCCCTCATCTAAAGAAAGAATTGGGAAACAACATCCAGGAGGGGCACACAACTCCCAATAGGCTTGATCAAAAGTGGTCCTAACTACAATACATGATAATCAAGCTCTCATCAATCTAACAGAAGGACAAAATCCTTAAATGTGCATGTGAAAAAAAAAATCAATTGATCTTTAGAGAAATGGCAATTAACTTCACAGGAGATCTCTCACAGGAAACTCTACAGGCCAGAAGAGAATGGAGTGACATATCCCAGATTCTAAACACAGAAAGATTGTCGGCTCAGGACAACGTACCCAGCAAAACTTTCTTTTGTCTTTGAAAACCAAATACAATTCTTCCACGGTAAAGAAAAGTTAGAAGAATATGCCTCTTCCAAACCCACTCTACAAATGATAAAGTTGTTCTCTTGGCGGAGAAAAGGAATAGCACCCACCAAAACCAAAGGCAACTGTGAAGAACATCCCAATAAAATAACAAAAGAAGACTGAATCAGTGAACAACCCATTGCTGAATGACAAGAACAAATTACCACCTATTTGTATTAACCCTGACTATAAACGCCCTCAACTCATCAATCAAATATCATGGATTAGTAGATTGGATTAAAAAACAAAACGCATTCATTTTTTGCCTACAGGAGACACATTTCACCAGCAAAGATCAACGGAAACTGTATCTCATGGATTTTGATGTTTTTGTTTTTAGTCCCATTTCTTCAAAACACTTTTTTCTTGTTAAATTCTTCAATGACTCATAGATCACACAGTAGCATCATTTTCTTCAAGAAGGTTCTTGATTTTATTTTTCATTTCTTCAGTGACACATTAGTCATTCAGTAGCATGTTATTTAGCTTCATGGTGTTGTTAGTTTCCTTTTTTTCTTCCTGTTGTTGGTTTTGTTTTGTGGCTTTTCATTTAAGAGGATACACAGTAACTGTGTAATGGAGACTATCATTTCCAGATGTGAGGATAAAATGCAGTATGCATTTCTACTTCCAGGCAAAGATGGACTCCCAATGAAACTGTTTACTGTATCTTGACAATAGGATGCTGGACTCTCTGCCATTGTCCATGCCCGCAATGATGGACATATGACTGTGTATGGGAAACTGTACTATAATATTGATATAGTGGAACTCAGTGTGGGGGAAGGAGAGGGGAAGGGGATAAGGAAAATCCTAGGGCCTATGGAACTGTATCATAAAATGATAATAATAAAAAGAAGTACAATATTTTTAAAAAGAGGTAATGGCAAGTAATTCAAAACATGGAAAATTATATTAGGAAACATATGACTGTGTTTTGCATAGTTCATACCTGGGGAATGACCAGCAATCTATTATACTATAAAAACATATACATATCTCTAAGCGCATTTATTGTGTACACATAAAATAATATTATATGTGACAGATTAGGTTGCCATTAATTGTCCTTGTTAGTGAAGTAAGACATTTAGATTTTGAGGTGGGGGTTAACCTAAGGCTGTTAGAATGACTAATGTGAGTAGCAAGCTAGAAGCTAAACCAAGAGAAAGAGACTAAGAGGAAGTCTACCACATTAGTGTTTGCAAGTGCTAATAAAAGACCCTAAGCTGGGTAGTGGCAGTGGGGCAGAAATAAAGGAACAGATGGGAGAATTGCTTTGCAAGAAATTATTGTTTAACACAGTAACTATTCTGCATATCATTAAATGTGTGTCAAGTTAATTTTGTAACTTCATTTGGCTCTAATAGCTTCCTCTCCAGGTATGCAGAACCTTCAAAATTTATTGGTCATCTGTTCACATATTTTTAATTAAGAGGCATCATTCCCATGAGGCCAAGACTGTGAGTGCTGAGTTTCGCACTATTTTCACGACATGCAACAGTACAGGCTCTGCTCCAATGCCTGCTGAATGAATGGGTGGGTGAGTCCTGCCCCTGCACACATCAGCACACTCACCCTCAGGATCTCTTCACCTTCCCCTGCCCCCGCCCCGTCCCTGTCTTTGAGCTGGATCTGGGAGACTGTACCCAAGGACAGTAACCACATTACTGAACTCCCTGTCTTCAGTGCAAAGCTGAGCTGATTTTTCTCTTCCAGTCACTGCCTACACTCAAGCTCAATTGACTCTCTTTACTATTTCTTATTATTATCCCAGGCATATCCCATAAGTTTTTGATGATATAATGTATGAAAAACTCAGTTCCAATATAATTTTAAACCTTGGGTTTCATTATCTCCTCACACTTCCTGCTCCAAATTTTGGCTTCCAAGGGCCCCACCCCCAAGCAACTGTTATCTCTTTTGTAATTCTGTTTGCTCTTCATTGTAGACAGGAAAGAATTAAGGAAAAGGCAAACTTAGTTACACTTAATTTGATTTTTACTTCCAAGTCCACGGTGTGCATCTCGATTCTTCAACTCACACTGTCAATCAATAACAATTGTGTGGCAGGTGATCCATTGATTGTTGTCTGAAAGAATCATGGAAGTGCTTGGAGGCAGGACATTACACAGTTCTCTAGGATAGAACAATCCAGGCACCCCAAATGGCTTAATAAAGCTTACTTAAATGTATCCTTGAAATCAACTTCAGGGAGGGTCAGCTTGCTGGGCAGGCTGACAGCAAGATCCTCCTATTGCGGTGTTAATTTCAGCACCAATGATTCTTACTCCTTCTTTCCTTTATTTTTTTCCAGTTTTTTTCCTATGTTAACTGAGTAAATCAGATTAGGACCTTTCTTTGGATTGGAGTGATGATTGAGGTTAGCAGTTAGTTTAGTTACCTCCTGGCACATCCTGGGAGATGACCTAGTCCCAATATTTTTGAGACTCTCTTTAGTATCTGAAGATATTTATACCTTGGAGCTTCCCCTCTAGGTTTCTCTCTCTGATTCTGCAAATGTATTGTGTGTGTGTGAGTGTGTGTGTGTACCACTAAACTTTATTTTGCAAATCCTGCGTTGCCATTTACATTTGTAGCTACTGCACAGTAAACTCTAGCTTATCATTTCCCTGAATGTCTCATGAGTAGCTAAAACAGACCATTCAGTGTCAAAGTAAAATGCAAAAATCTGATGTACTTTCACCTCCAGTGCACACAGGAATTGCACTGCAACTTTAAAACTGAGGACGTGTAAACCTCAAAGTGGGAATGAGATTGGAGAGTGAACCAACAGGAAAACAAAGAAAGTAACTTCAAGTGAGAGAAGGAGGATGGTTGCAGAAATGTCTACACAGTGACAGAAAGCTTAACATGTTTAAGATGAAAATCTGACTCCTTGATGCTCAGGCTAATCTTTTTTTCTGCTCACACGTCAGAATCTTGCAGATTTCCATTAATATTTATCTCCTTGAATCAGAAGATGGAGGTGCATCTGTACTATGCTTTGATCAGGGTTAACTGACCCCCAAGATTCTAAGGGATCACATGAGTTGATAACGTGCCAGTTTGCCTTTGTATCTGATGGCGTTAGATGCGTGGCGTGACACATGTTTTAGAAGTAGCCCAAGTTTTAGAAGTGAGTCACTTCAAGCAGCAAGTACCACGAATTCAACTCAACTTTCAAATAAAAACTAAAGGACTAGAATAATCCATACAAGATTTTCAACCCAGAAGTCCCTCCTGCTTAAATTAGTTTCACACTCCAATTTAAACTCAGAAACATGATGCTGCTGTCACACTTCTTTGTTCTCCTAAAGCATTAAAAAAAAAATCTGTATATAGCTGACAAAAAATAGGAGCCTGTCTGCCAGCAAGCTCTCTATTCACGTCTAACATAGTGTTGAGTCAATGCAAAATGCTGGCTCTTAAAAAACCCAGACCCTCTGCTTGACTGGTTCACCTCAGCAGTATGGTACTGCAACATGTTTACGCCAGCTGCATGTCTTGCATAATTCCTTTTGAATGTTGAAGCCATGCAGTATTTTCACATGGCTTGATGTCATGCATATGAGATTTATCCATGTGTAAGAAGTGCCTCATGGCTTCGGTGTTGAAATTTAGTAAAAATCGCCTGACATTGCTTTAAATTCCATCCAACAGACAACCAGCAGTATCTATAATAGAAGTTTGACAGATTTCGTTTTCTCAGTGATGGGAGTTAAGTTAGCAGCTAAATTGGACATTCTACCTGTATTAAAAAAAAAACTAACACAATAGGAAAATTAGTAATGATTTCAAATTTCTTATTTTTCTTTATTTTCTTATGTGGACATCTGTGCTATTTCACAGCAGATACACTCCCAAGTGCTGGGATGCAAGCGTTGTTGAAACAAAGGAGACACTGTAAATGAATCCTAATGCAGTTTTCTTGCTTGCAGATGAGACCCATTGGTCATGATGGCTACCACCCCACCTCTGTAGCTGAGTGGCTGGATTCAATTGAGCTGGGTGACTACACCAAAGCCTTCCTAATCAATGGCTACACATCGATGGACCTGTTGAAAAAGATCTGGGAGGTCGAACTTATAAATGTGAGTTGGTCTCCTACTAATAATGCTTTAGCCATTCCGCCCTTGCTAACGTGGCATTTTGTTGCAGATGAGTAGTTTTATCTCTCTTTAAGATTGTTTGGGCATCTAACAATGATTTGAAGTTGCGCCTTCTGTTTTAAATATATATCACTCGGGTTCCAGATTTATTATTCTCTTTTCAAGTTTTGACGTAGAGAACTAAGAGGTAAAGAAAGGACTTGCAATATTTTACATTATCAAAGAAAAGCTTCCAAGCTTTTTTGCGTTGTCCGTTATAATTAGGAATCAGATACTTGAGCAAACAAGCTCTGATTCTGGTCCTTGTTTGTATTAACAGTTGCAGATTTAAATTGCCATTTTTTAAAATTTCTATGTGTATCATTTGTCCTTATGTCTATTCCTTAATAGTATATATAGGCCCTATAAAAGAGACTGCTTTTATTGTTTCTAAATAATGTGCTTCAATATCAAATTTTTATTTTCTAAAGCTGGTGGCTAATTTTGTGTTTTCCCTGTTTTCTTCACAAACTTGGCATAGGTTTCTTAAAAACATTGGCCAACAATGTGTTGCCACAGAGTCAAACCCAAAAGGATCAATTAAATCTGCCTAAATAATTTGGATTCTTTCATCTCATTGTTTTCTTTTTTCATAATGGCATAAAAGAAGGAAAAAAATGAAAACATAACATAAAATCACTATGCTTTTGAGTTATATTTGGCATGATAGTTCTTTCATTTTAAAGATGAAAATGAGAGATATTTCATCTTAAAAGCTTAGTTTTCCATTCTAATGATTAAAAGAAAAAACATACAGTTAAAGGCAATTTTTACTCACTCAGATTTGCTTTGTTAGGTTTTTTGTGCCACTTCCTCTCAAAAGTCCAGTTTCTGTATTTTGATGTCATTAATTAATTAATGTTTACTCTAGTAATTAGTTACTTGCTTTTAAAAGTCTGTGTTAAAATAGTATCTTCTCTGGAACATTTTGTGAAAATTCTTCTTGAACCTAAAAATCACATTCAATAGGCTGACTCTTGGCTTCTAATTCGCTTAACTCATAACTTTTTGCTGCTTTTGCCATCAGAAAAGCTATTATAATTTCAGGGAAAATTCACTGACTAAAAGCCTCTGGTTAATTTCATTCTTACTCCCGGTGGTAATGGAACTAACTAAAAACTATATTGCTTTTTCATTGCATGAGGCTAAGATTTTAATTCCTTACCAAGAACGTAACATCCATCTCATGTCTACCCTTGGACATTTGCTGAGGGGTGCCATCCATAGATCATCCAAACAAGCTTGTAAGAATTGCCGCCCAGTTAATGGCAGAGTCTAACAAATGTCCCTGTGTGATCTCTAATGCTGCTCCCCACTCTGAAGAGCAAAAATTCACAATAGGTAGCAAGTGGGTCACTTACCTGAATGACATTAACAATAAGGCTCCATTGAAAACAATGGATTTTGATAGGACAGTGTTAAAACGGGCTTGCACTGAAGCAAGCATCATTCATAATGCGGTGCTACTGGCTTCTCAAAATCCAAAAGCTTGACTTATATTTAAGGTACAGCCTTGTACTCATGTTTTCCAAAGATTGTACTACCTGTGACCTAGAGATTTCTGTTTAGTGGCTGCAGAAAGGCCTATGAACAGCTTCCAGAACTGCAGAGACAATACTGCTAGCAGGTTCCCTGACGCATTGCCAGGCCTTGGGGCCTGATCCATCAGTATCTCTGGCCTGTACCCATCATCTTTGAGTAGAGACAGAGAAATGGCCTCTTACATCTGTGCTGATTCTTTAAGGGCTTTCCCTGTCACTACACCTGCTATGCTACAATCTGACATTGATCCAGGGAGAAGTGCCTATTGTAAACTTCATATCAGAATTTGAAAACGTAACCTCTGCATTTAGGCCATGAGGCCAAGCTCCTCTGGCCTGAAGTACACCATCTGTGTCTATCACCAATCTAGTGTGTTTTCCTTAAAGTGAACAGACTAAATTAAAATTGCTTGTGACATCTGTAGAGGCAAATTCATGGGCTTAAATGGGTAGCCTTTGAAGTTGTTCAACTCTGTAGCTAGACAACTTATTGTGGACCAAAACTGATCCAAATCTTTGTGCTTGGAAGTCAGGAGACAAAAGTTTTAGAGCTGAGTAGTTGATTGATGGCTTGAGGCTGTCAGGTTTTTAAATGAGGTGAAAACAAACTGGGTGTCTTTTGACTCTCAAAGGTTTTGAATGATCTCAAATTCAAGATGTTGGTCCCAACCAGAGAGGGAAGGTCACCAAATAAAAGCCAGTCTCATGTAAGATGTATTGGTCCAATAGTCCTGTGCTAAGTAGGCATACTTTGTGAGTTGATCACATAAACCTCGACTTAGAGCATACTGTCGTAGGCAAGTTCACTTTCTGAATCATTTTTATTGTCAACTGGTTTTACGCGAAGCAGTTTTGTGTGTAGTCAAGGAGACATGTATTCTGCTATGGAAGCCTGCAGGGCAAGAGAAGGGAGAAACTGATTATCAATAACTGCAGCATTATTCAGCAGCACTAGTTAAGCATCCGGTGTACATTGTGCTTGGTGTTAGATGAAAATGTGACTATATTCTCGGTAGGTATAATAAATTAGTTAATTCACAGTATTTCCACGTGGAAATTAAACTCTAGCATTCAAGCTGGAAAAGTATAGATATGTATTTGAGTGTTCAGTCTTTCAAGAAAAGAAAGTCCCCAAAGAGCTTTCTTCCTTAAAGATCTGCATTATTCCCTTTGAAGAACAAGATTGTTTGAATAAGCCAACAGGGGTTTTGATTCACAAAGCTACCCAAAGCATAGTAATGAGAGGCGCCATGGACTTCGCGCTGTCAGCAGGGGAAGTCAAGCGTGTGAGATGCTGACAGATGCACAGGTGCATCTCACAAGAGAGGAGGAAGGGGAAGCTGGGGATTGTTTCCTGTGCTCTTTCAGTCATGGGTGGCATTCAGAATCAGGTGCTGTATTGATAACCCTGCCCTTCCCTTGTGTTTGTTAATGTTGTTAAGACCATTCTCACTGTGGTGTCAAGACTTCACTGTTACAATAGGAGTGTGTTGGGATAGTTCCCGCTTCGAGTGCTCCCCGAGGATGAACCTCTCATTGGGATTGCAGTCCCTTCTGAAGACTTGTTTAGAAAACTAAAGACTAGGTACGAGTGTATAAGGACAAGAATTTGCTTCGTTCTACTCAGTAGCTACTCATTATGTAAGGAATCATGACATGAGCAGGTTTGCAGGAGTCTATTGCTGTTGACAACCTCAGCAGCCCTGCCCAGAGGAAGTTTTAGATAAATGGGCAACATATTTTCCTCATGAAATTAAAAATAACTATCTTGGGACAATTTTCTAGACAAAAAAGTACTGAAATGACAAAAAAAATTGAAATCACTTCTTTCACCATAATAAATCGACAAAAGGAACTTGGACAAAATCCAAAAGTTTGAACACTGCCCAATTTATTAATCTCTGAATCTGAGTGTAGAACTTATGATTAATTCATTCCCATTGGATTTACCATTATTTTCCAATTGAATGATTCCAATCCAGGTTTATTTTATTCTACAGTATTCATAATGATCGAAGCATCCACTGAATGCATAAAATAAAATTCATATTTCAGAGCAGTCTTAATCTTTGCTCATAAGAAAAGCTTCAGAAATGTAACTACAGTGTTTGACTGTTTTTAAATACCTTAGAGTAAAAATAAATAAATTAGCTAAGATAGCAAAACTCATATGTGTCCTATAAAACTATTTCATACATCCCATGAAAATAATTTAGCATGGTTTTTGCAGCAATAAATTGTTAGGTCGTTTGTTTCTAGCCTCCTAGCTACTGAAATTCCACTTTTGTTCATTCAGAACTATCAGATTCTCTCACTGTTTATTTTTATTTTGCAATATTGTTTGTGAATACCTTCCAATGTTTCCAGGAAAAATATAGTCACCTATCTAATGGGAGATGCAGTAAGAAATTTCCCACAGATACTTCCTACTTTAAATCTTTATAATAATGTGACCTTGTTTGCTCTAACTGATGCTGGAATATCTTTGAGTATCTGATTTACACCCATTTCCTGATTCAATGTTTTTAGCATAGTTTTTTCATTAATATAAACACACTTTCCAATCTATCCTAAGGCATGTTGCTATAACTACAATTAAGAGCACTCCCCCCAAAAAACTTTTTTTTTGCTGTGTGTGTGTGTGTGTGTGTGTGTGTGTTGGATAAAGGCAAATGCTAACTTACACTGACAATCAGGAAGAATAATAAACAGATTTGCAAATTACAGGGGAGGTATGGGGAGGAAGAATAGTCTAATTCCATTTCCCAAACCAATTACTTCAAGTAAAAGGCTATGCCTTCACTATAGGACATTAAGAAATGAGAAAATGTTCATATCCCTTCACCGGGGAGGCTGCATCAGTCAACACTGCAAGTATTAACAACTTCCATCAAAGCTGAAGGCTTTAACTAAATGACTAGACGTGAGTGTTCAAGTGTAGAGCAAACGTTATAAATCATCTGCGGATTTAAACATTTCATTTATATCCGGGTACAGTACAGCTGGCTTCCCGCAGGCCTCCAGCACACAGCCTGTAGGTTTTTTCAGGCAGTGTGAAGTAAAGCTCTGAGGCTCCACCACCCCATTCTCCTGTATCTATATTTCAAACTCCTCTACAAAGCTTCCTTCAGGTTTTGGAAAAGGTACCCTTTTCCTCTTCTCATAGGTAGTGGACAAGCTTCTCTCAAACAAGTAGTCACTTTGATGATTTTTCAGCCCTTTCACACATCTGGCCTAGAGGTTGAAGCAAGTTATCAAGGATTGTTACTTCCAGCTATCCTTCAGCATGCTTCACACGCTGCACCTATCATACTGCTCTCAGCCCCATGGCCTTGACCTCAACCAAGATGGGACCATACCACGATAAAATGCACTCAGCCACTACATTGGAGGTAATACAGC